AGGGATTTACCGGCTTTGTACCGATCCTCATCGGATCGGTATAGTACACGCAACGGATTGCTGTACTATACAGCTGTTGCCGACGACACGCCTCGTGTCGTCGTACCCGCTCATCATGATTTGCGTTTGCGCATCATGTATGAGTGTCACGATGCCCCAACAAGCGGCCATCGTGGAAGGGAAAAGACTTACCTCACGGTAAGTCGCGACTTTTACTGGCCCCGCCAGTATCAGTTTGTTCGCAAGTACATACGTGCTTGCGAAGTTTGTCAACGGGTAAAGCCTAGTCCTTCATCCCGTGCGCCATTGCAGCCTCTGCCTGTTCCGACAGAGTGCTGGCAGTCCGTTTCAATGGACTTCGTCTTCGGTTTTTCCGAAGACGCTCACAAGAATAATGGTATTCTTGTGTTTGTTGACCGTTTCAGCAAGATGGTCCATCTTGCTGCTGTCCCTGAGTCGATCAAGGCTCAAGGTTGTGCTCGTGTCTTTCTAGACACGGTCTTTAGACTCCACGGGTTACCCCGTGAACTCGTATCCGACCGTGACCCTCGGTTCACGGCGGCATTTTGGCAAACCGTGTTCCGTACTCTCGGAACACGATTGAAGATGTCCACTTCTGACCATCCAGAAACAGATGGTCAGACGGAACGTGCGAACCGTGTCCTCGAAGAGATCCTTCGAGGATATGTCCACTCGTTTCCGAGTTGGAGCGAATTCCTACCCATGGTGGAATTCGCCATCAATAATTCGGTGCATGCTTCAACACAGCACACACCGTTTTACGTGAATGGCCTACGCCATCCACGAGTGCCCACCCTTATAGAGTGTGACTCTTGGATAAGGGGGGAGGGACTCGCTCGAGCAAAAACCGTTTTGGCTCTTGCTCATCACGTGTCGACGCAAACGTCGTCACGAATGATGCCGATGTCGATCAAGTCGACATCGATGAAGAAGATCATCTCAATAATAGCGACGACGCTATTATTCACTCGGATGATGATGACGATGATGGTATATTCAGCATCGCCAACGATTATGTCAGCGAGGAAGAAGACAACCTCGCTGAAGAAGAGAGCAATCTCTTAGCAGTGCGCACGAAGCGCACTGCCAGACAAAACAAAGAGTCAGCAGAGAACTTCCTGCTGACTCGAGAAGCGGTAGTCCGTTTCGTTCAGGACTCCATCGCAAATGCGGTGGACCGTCAGAAACGGAACGCAGACAAGAATGGAAGAGCAAATGTTCTTTCATTTAAGGTTAACGACCTAGTACTACTGTCTACGGTAAACTTACCTGGACATGCAGTCACTAGTGTCGGCAGTAGTAAACTACTGCCGAAATACATTGGGCCATTTCGAGTGTTGCATCGCAAGGGCAATGCATACACACTCGAATTGCCACGTAGGATGCGCACGCATCCTACGTTTTACGTGGGGAGGCTTAGGTCGTACTGTCAGTACGAGCCTTCTTCTTCCGATGAAGATAGCCCCCACGTTCAAGAACATCCATCAAGTTCTTGCGTTCGCGCTCCAGACGATCCGTCTGGTCGCGCAGATATGATACCTCGGAACTCAACCGAGATATCTCCCCGCGAGCTGTCGCCAGCTCGCCGAATAGGGAGCGGACATCCCGCTCGACCTGAAGCTGCGCTGTGGCATAATCGGCGCGATCCCTCGCCCGATCAGCCTCGTGACCCTTACGGTTCTTCCGCACGGTATCGGTCAAAGCGTAGCGCCGATCGCGCTCGTGCTTCAAGTCATCGCGCAATTCATCGATTGCGCGATCCATCTCGTAAGGGTCGAGATGGTGAACCGAATCATCTGGAGGAGGTCTTTCCTCCTCCACCACATCCTTTGGTGGATGCGCACGGTGATCAACGCTTTCTAGTGGAGCGTATCTTGAATCACCGTGACGATTCAGGATCAAGGACGAGCTACCTCGTCCAGTGGAGGGGGTATCCACCCTCTTGGAACAGCTGGGAGCCCCGCTCTCAGCTGTTGATGGATGTTGAAGGTCTCGTCCGCCAGTATGACGAGACCCATCCGATGAGTCCTGTGGCCCATCGGTAAACACGCGCCCTAGGCGCTTGTAGACGGATTGCAAGTTTGCAATCGCGTCACGCATCTCAGCCGAGATGTGTGCCCTTCCCCAGGGCGAATTTAGGGAATACACATCCCTATGTGCGCGCTGCGAGTTGTCAACACAACTCGCACAAGGGTCTCCCCATGTGAGGCAAGGAATGCCTGCCTCACTCGACAAACAATGCAACCGGTACCTAGCACCGGTTGGCGTTCGCTTTTCGAACCTGAGGCGTGTCGCCTCAAGTTTCTTGAGCCACCCTTCTCGTCCAAAATTCTTTACGTTTTGGACGAACGCGTTCCACGCAGCCAAAAGCGATGTTTTGTCACGCTTTTGGTTGCTGTTGTACCATCGATGTCTAAGAAAGACATCGAGATAAAATTCTTCTTCAGCGCGAAAGTTCTTCGCGCTGGAGCTCAAGCCGTGAAGCTCGGTTGCATCGAATAAGGGTATTCGATGGTGTTGGCCTGTCTCGTGAGACAGGCTATTGATGAGCTGTTCGGGCAAACGCCACGGCTTCAACTCATCACGCTTCACAGTGGTACCCTTGTCGGTACCACGGCTCCCAGATTGACGACGGCTCGCGCCATCGTCATCACGCTCGTGCGAAGACGCACGAGCCGGCGGTGGTGAGGAATAGAATTCCTCACCACCCTGATCATCGTCATCACTGCCGAACAGACTGTGATGCAAATCACGAGTCCGTTCGTTCGGCAGTGGTCTTGGCGAATACTGAGGCGTCGCCGGTGAGCGAGACGCCTCTGGAGCATTGCCCGAGTCAGACACGTCTGACTCGCCAGAGTAGATGACCTCTACATCAGGGTCATCGTGCGCACGCGGTGTGATACCGCGTGCACCTGCAGCACCTGTTGCTGCAGGCGAAGAAGGGGCGGCAGACGACGAATCGTCTGCCGCAGAGGCTTGCACAGCACCGGGCTGTGTGGGTCTTGAGTCACCTCGCATAGACATGTTAACTATGCGAGGTCAAGCGGAAAGTGAATGGAACGGACCCAACAAGTGCTCCCTGTCCCAATGGTGGTCAACGGGTGGCTTCCATATTTTCGATAGTCACACGGTGACTATCAGTTAAGGGGGGGTGATGTAACGGGGCAGCCCGTTACATGAAATTGTCACTTTAAGGAAAGTGACAATAAAGAATATAAAGATGGATATTCTTTAAAACAATATCACCAAAGTGGTGATATTGAAGGGTCGACCAAAGGGTCTGTTCATTGGTTGATATCGTGATGATATCAACCCACCAATCGCCGCAAGACGCGCGCAATGAGTGGTGACGAGACGTCACCATATATGCAGTTATATTAGTATAATTGAATTAAGTCAAACGAAGAGACAGTAGTTTAAAGACTTAATTATATTAATATAACAGTTCTACCCTACCTACGCTTCCTCGCTCGCCGCGTGTACGTCCGTCGGGGCACCCAAAATCCTTGCGTTAAGTTACGCAAGGGTGTGCCCCGTTACAGACACGCATATTACTATTGCTAATTAGCATAATAAGCAAACACTGCTAATGGTTATTGCCATTGGTTGGACTGATGAGTGATCATTGTTGATGATTGAATGGATTGTACGAAAGCCCTAGACAATCGTTTTGCTAATTTTCTATCATTGTTTGCAGCCCATTTTGACGGTTGCCATTTTGTATTGCTAATGTCTAGCAAAATATTGCGAAAAGATGAGCGCTAATAATGAGTCAAACAAATGGTCTGACCTCTGATAAATGTTTCGCTTAGCCTATGTAATAAGACACAAGGAGCTACGCAAAAAAAAATATTGCGTAGCAGACTCTCACTGACTGTAGTGAGAACTTGTGCCCTGTAAGATGGTGTATACCATACGCTTTTGAGGAAGTCTAGAACTCAGCGACTAAGCTTCGTAAATAAAAGGAAACTGTATCAATATATTTTTGTCCTATAAATGTGTCTTATCTTGTTAGTCCTGTCTTAATTATATTAATGCAAAAGCGTGTATGGTGACTTCTACCCAGCACCAACTACACGCGTCTAGCATGGATTGTTGGGTTGACGGTAATGGCTATATCAACGAATGGGTAGACCCTTGGGTCACTGCAACAATGTCACTGAACTTAGTGATATTGTAGTGGGAATATTAGACTTAGAGAGATATTCTCTAGTATCATATTGCCACAAACGATATTGTTCTGCAACAGGCTCACCCCGTTACAACAATCGATGGAGCTTTGTTCGTTTTATTTTTGGCCCGAGGTCATGCATGCAATGTCATTGCCGTTAAGAAGAGCGATCACTTAAGACCGTCTCATGTTGACGAACAGGCAATCCGTGACATGCATGAGAATTTAGCAATGTGCTGTAAATGACGCTAGCATACGACATTTTACGCTGTCAGTCACGTCGAGCGAAGTATCGTATCGAGCTTTCACTGGTGCGATGGTAAGCCAGAAGCAGCTTCACATCATCACGTTTTCTTGGGCTTTCAGCTACGCTGGAGATTGCTTTCCCACGTCCCTCGAACAAACGAAGTGAACATTGCAGCAACAAAGATCGACTCGTTCGCTTGACTTTGCTACCACATTTGCAAAGGTCGTATGGCATTTGTAGCGAGTTTTGCTCCAACTCCAGCTCAACGACGAGTTGCTATCGTCAACCAGTACGTACCTCATCAACTACCGGCCACGTCTCCCATTATCTCCCGCTTACAACAAAAAGAAAAAGAGAAGAAAAAGAGAAGAACAAGAACAAGAACAGGCGAGTCGCATAGAAATAGCGGATACCAACAGATTAGGAGATACCGAGAGCACTTGTCCACCGACAACAAAGAGAGAGAGAGAGAGAAAGAGAGCGAACGTCTGCTGTATCCGTTGGATCGCATCTCATTGTCTGTCGCTTGCAGTGTTCAGGAAGCCGTCTTTTTCCACGAGAATGACCAGAGCTCGTGTCGAACCGCCGGAGAAGACGACGCCGCACGCGCGCTCAGCGCCACCAAACACGACTCTGGCGAAACGTCCGCGTCTCGAACCCGTTGCAGCCGGTGCCGCAGCGTCTCGTCGTCCCTGTGCCTCCTCCTCCTCCATCCGTCGCGTCTTGGACGTGAATCTCGTGCTGCCTCGACTCGTGGCACTGCTGGACGTGGCTTCGGTGGCCCATTTCCTCGAAGTGTTGGCAGTGGACGAGACGTGGCGCGACGTGTTGACGATCGACACGTTGTGGCACGAGCTGCTGACAGTGCGCTTTGCAGGGAAAGCGCCAGCAGTGGAACTCTTTGGTGACGACGACCGCGGGACGGGTGAAGACGAAGAAGAAGAAGAAGAAGGAGAAGGAGAAGAAGGAGAAGGAGAAGAAGGAGGAGGAGGAGAAGGAGACGGTGGAAACATGTTGGAAGACGGAGACGAAGACGAAGAGGAGGAGGTGGAGGAGGAGGTGGAAGATGGAGATCGAATGGTTCTCGTGGAGGTGCTGCAGAGCGACGAAGAGACAGGAAACGATGATGACGCTGTTGTGGGCGACAACGTCGATGTCAATGACGACGAAAATGACGGACTGTATCGTCGCTCTCGTCGTGCTGCGTCTGGCAGTACTGCGTCAGTGGGTGAGGGTACACAGGGAGAGATGGGCTGTTTGAGGGACTCGACGGAACAGGTGGTGCCAAGCACGTGGGCCGCGAATGTACCGAGTCCGACGGTGTTGGCGGTAGCTTGTCCCGACCTGAAGGAGTATTTGCGCTCGGCAGAGCAATGGGTGAAGTTTAACGCGCGCGTGCGGATCATCAGGGGAGATATTGGAGAGATTACAATGGTCGAAGGGCAAGCACTGGACGGTCTAGCGTTCCCGACTGCAGCGTTTCTCCGAAACCCCCACTCGGGTGCTGCTGCCGCAGTGTTCCGACGAGCAGGAAAAGGACTGAGCGACCATGTTCGCTCGCTGGATGTCCGACTCGACGTTGGGCAAGTGCACGTCACGCCGGGTTTTGACACAGGTGTGGCCAAACTTATCCATGTGGTAGGTCCAAGTGGGTTCAATCCACAATGTTTCAGAGATTTACAACGAACGTATCGGAGTGTACTGCGATACATTCAGACGGAACATCTGAGCTGTGTGGCCATGGCATCGATCTCTACCGGTAACATGGGCATGCCAATTGACAAGTCCGCGTGGTTTGCGTTGTGCTCTATTCAGCGCTACATGCGTTCTACAGACTGGACGGCGACTATCGCCATTGTGTGCTTCGAAGCGGACGTGTACGCCGCTTTCGTACGAAACAAAGCCAAGCTACTAGCGCAATTCAACGCGGATACCGTGCGTGCGACACCTCCGCTGTGGAACCAGTAATGTCTTTGGTGCTCAAATTTGAGATGGCGTTGTACGCTGGAAGACTCTACATATGTCCGTCTGCCGTGTCAGAATGAGTCGAACACATTATTTTGGATGAGAGTCGTCAGGACCTGCGCCGTCAGCTTCCTACATGTATCAGTTGACGACTCGGCTCAGTGCAAAGCGACGTACATCGACAAGTAAAACATACTGCAAGTGAGTCTCTTTTCCTCATCACTCTACCAAAATGGAACGTGTGCGATAGTATGTACCCATTGGCTTTACCGATACCCCAAAGTCAAATCGTGTGCCAAGGCAGCACTAATGTCCCCAGAAGCTAGCACCCCATAAACAGTGCTTTACAGTCTGAGGATACCTTTCGTCAACAAGAACAGCACCTGCAAACTACAAAAGCTGCTGAGAACCGCTCAAGTTGCACTCCGATTAGTGTGGATGGTCCACATGTCGGACACCAAACGTGCATGTAGAGCTTCTTACCATGCATGTTTGATGTCCTTGCAAGTTGCAGCAGTAAGAGGCTGATGATACACTCGGAAGAAGCCGTGGTGTTGTTATTTCCATATTGTATACAATCTTTCGTCACTGCTGCGATTGTGATGCGACTTGGAATTAACATCCCCGCAAGCGTATGAAAACGACAAAAGGGACTCGCACTTGCCTTGTGGGAGCTAGTTCAGAGTCGGTATCTCACCCCAGCCAAGTGGGTCGTCATTGCTACAATCGGATGGATCCCAGTTAGCCTCGAAGGGCGCAGCTTTGCCACCACGTCCGCTCCGCGACATCTCGAGCTTTACTGACGCCTTCCACGTCTTCTTGATACCGTGATCTTGCACTCCAGATCTGTTTGGTGACGCATGCAATGTGCTCACGCCTGAACGTGCTCAAGCACTTCTGCTCCGTCGCCTATTTCTAGTTGCTAGTCACCAACACCGCAGATAAAGACGCCGTCGAAGCAGGTGTCTGCGTACGAGTGCATCTGCTTTTTGTACCTACAGAGCAGGTGGTGAGCTATTCTACCAGCAGGCAGTAGGAAAGGCACTACGTCTGCTTTAGTACACGCGCTCACCCACGAGTACGAAGTGGCGGACTGCCATGTACCCTTCAGACCCATGTGGCACAGTCTTTGAGGCGGTTATGCCTTCACTTGTGCTACGACCAGGTTTGACGTATGTGTTCACGTCGACTTCCCCTCGCACATCACACCAGTCTTCACATGGGCGCTTTGTTGTCCGTAACTTATGCATATTTTCTTGCAACACGATAAACCCTGACGCTATGTTCCAAAGTTCCTCGACATGCACAATAATGACACTATGTCTCGAAAGCCATCGCCGATGTGTGCACGAAATGACAGAGACTCATCGTCGATACAAGAAGTATAGTAGCCGTAGTTACAGCCGCTGCCGTTACCACAAGTACACCAGGTGTCGAAAACTACTTGCAGTCCGGACAGGAGCTCTCATAGTGTCATACGATAAGGAATCGTTCAGTGTGCGTGCATGTACTCGATACGAGGCTGTGTTGGAGTTCAAATCCATACATATCGTAGTAGAGGCCGACAGTATCATCAACGTATCGACCAGGCAATGCAGTCGTTGTTGCCTTGGGCTGTGTTTGGCAGCACCAGAAGCCCATGAAAAGCATCGAAGGTCCGCCACTCTACCACACTCATCGCACCGCCGCCATTCTGTTCGATACATGTGTTGCCTCCCCCAAAAGTAACAGCAACGTTCGAGAGCCAATGGAACAACCAACGACACCACGAAACAAAGATTCGTTACAATCGTGCGCGACACTCGGTCAAATGTCACGCGGTAAATCACCTGTCGCCCCTCCCACGCGTCTGCTACTTTCCGCACTGCGACGGACATCGTGGGCCCTTTCCTTTGTCCACGTATCGCCCGTATCGTCTGTTTGTTTCGCGCTTGCGTTGCTTGGGTTGCGGCACAAGAGACGAGCCATTCCGCGTGCTGCGGGAACGTCGCCGCGCGGCCCCACCTCCGCGCGACGTGAGACGACAGACCATAGCGCCCGCGCCCCATCTCCTCGCCTCGATGTGCCCCTTCCGACCCCATTCCGCGCGCCCCCGCCAAGCGTCGGCGGGTTCCACGCTCCGGTTAACCCGTCGCGCCCGCTCCTGCATCGACTGTCGCACTGCAGCGCTCGCCCTCTGCGTCCGTCCGCAGCGGTGACGGCCGTCTCATTCCCGAAACCGCAGCGCCGCACGCGCTCTGCTTCGTCGACACCGATCGCGCCATTATTGCCAGTATTGCCATTATTGCCATTATTGCCATTATTGCCAGTATTGCCATTATTGCCATTATTGCCAGTATCGCACGAAATGGCCGCGTCCACTTTAAAGCGTCAAGACGCAGCAGTGCGCCCACTCGACGGCCGCCCGGCAGCGCTCACGCTGGCGCCCCGGCCCCTGTCGCTGGCGCCGTCGCCCGTAAAGCGCCCGTCGCCCGCGAGCGACAGCCGCTCGTGGAAGCGCTTGTGGGCGCTCTTCTCTGTCGCCTGCCTCCTCTGCCTCGCGTGCCTCACCACACTGCACAACGCAGTGGCCCATACCACTGCCGCCAACAGGTACACCAGCAGCGGTCTCTTGGCCCCGTGGCGCTCGCCGCGCGTGCTCGCGAAGCTGCAGCAGCTCTCGCACATGTTCACGGCCGTCGACGCGTCCACTGTGAAGCGGCGCGAGACGCAGCTGCAGCTCGCGCAGCTCGGCGACTACGAGTGCCTCGCGTGGCGCCAGACGACCAACTGCACGCCGCAGGGCGACCCCGAGGCGCACAACGACCGCAACTGCTCGAGCGTCGTGCCCAGCGGCGTCTCGGGCTACTGCGAAGTGCGCCACCGGTCCACGGGCGACGTCGCGCGCGTGCTGTCGATGCACTGCGCGTCGCTGCGCCCGGGCGTCCACTTTACGTGCGGTATGTTCCAGAGCCTCTTGGCGTACAGTATCCTGTCGACGGACTACGAACACGACGCGAACTTTTCGTACGCGCGGAACCAACAGCGCTTTCGCGCGGCGAATGCACTGCCCGTCGCGGCGTCGCCGCTCAGTGGTGACGAACCGACAGCGGCAGCGCTGTCGTTCGAGCGCGGCATTGTGCTCGTCGTGTACGAGAAGCTGTTGCTCGGCGCGTACGTGAGCGTGCGGTCGCTGCGGGCCATGGGCTGCACGCTGCCGATCGAGATGTGGTACGACCCGCGCGAGACGGACGTGGGCCACCCGCTGGTGCAGCTCCTCGTGCGCGAGCTGCACGTGGGGCTGCGCGTGCTGGACGACCCGCGGGCCACGACGTTCTACACGAAGCTCTACGCGGTGTTCTACAGCGCGTTCGACCAGGTGCTGCTGCTCGACGCCGACAACTTTGCCGTGCGCGACCCCACGTATTTATTCGACGCGCCCGAGTTTGTCCACACGGGCGCCATGTTCTGGCCCGACTACTGGCGCCCGGGCAATACGATCTTCAACATCCAGGAGACGAGTTTCGTGTGGGAGTTCTTTGGCCTCACGTACACGGACGCGTTCGAGCAAGAGAGCGGTCAGGTGCTGATCGATCGACGGCGGCACTACAAAGCGCTGAACGTGCTCATGTACTATGGCTTTTCGCTGCCCCGAGCGTTCGAAGACTTGCGACTCGTGTGGGGCGACAAGGACTTGTTTCGCTTCGCGTGGCTCAAGACCAAGAGCCCGTTCTACATGTCGCCGCGGCCGCCTGGCGCCGCGGGTACAAAGCATCCCGACTACGACCTCTTTTGTGGGGTCACGATGGTGCAGTACGATGCCGCGGGCCGCGTGCTGTTTTTGCATCGGAACACAGAGAAGCTCACGGATGCCAACAACCGCATCCTGTGGACGCACGTTCAGCAGTTTAAGCGCTCGTTGCCGGTGTCGGAGTACTATGTGCGCGGCGCAAATGGCGGCAAAGTGTTTCCACAGTTTAAGCGGTGCTTTGGCAAAGATGTGCACTATGAAAAGCTCTTTACGCTGAAGCCACTGAGCGCGTTCTCGTTTGAACACCTCGAAGACGATTTGCTTCGGTACACTGCTGCCGGCGCTGAAGTGCTTCGACTTGCTGGCTACCACAATGAGACAATATCTGAAGGAGCTGACTAGCGGTGCAACAAGGAGCAGCAGAGCGTTGACGACCAAATATAAGCTGGCGGAGCCCTATCGTCGGGCTGGCAATCGCATATCCTCGTGGGGGTCAGCTGCATGGACCAGAAGTGGTTGAGGCGCATATTGCTGGAGGGTTTTTTGAGTAGGAAAGCACACGAAGGTGGACTTGGTGGTCGTGTTCGTGACGTAGTAGACGTATTGTCGTACAAAGTTGCAGTCGTGGCCTTGTGCCATTGCAAGCCGTTGCGAGACGATCTGGTGGAATGCGTCAGAATTGGCGTCCGGGATCGTCCGTCACACAGTCGCTGGGAAGGAGTGACGATACCTCACCGCGTATACGGTGGGGCTGCGGTGGCCTCAAATGCGTAGGTGACCCGTACCAAAACTCGGACACTTGATCTCCTCTGCCTCTATACGATGCAAGTCGATGAATGGTACGCAATAGATGCGAAGCGCACTTGCATGAACACGGAGCTGCATCGTCTGATCTGCAGGTGCTTCAACATGGATGTGTCACGTGTGAGGCAGGTCGTCGAGTTCAGCTCCTGTCGTAAGTTGAACCGATCTGAGCGTGCGTCAAGTACGTCAAGAACAAAAGACTGACGCTTGGCACTGGAAGCAGATTGGGGAGGCAAACAAACATCGCCTGTCACTACGATGCGTCGTCACTGGCATCAAACCGTAGGATTCGCCCACTTACGTGATCTTGAGCCGACTTTTGGGTATGTTCGTTCGGCGGTGCAATTCTCGTGCAATCCGACACACAGTACATCGGAGTCCACAGCGCATTTCAGCTACCAGCAAAGTCGCCTATTGGTAATGGTGACAGTGCCAGAAAAGCGCTTTTTCTTTCACCCGCGCGTGCTACACATGCGAGTTCGACAAGGCCGACGCTGCACCTGCCGATCCGAACAAGCGGTTGTCAAGTGGGACAATGGAAGGGATTGCTATTGTGCTCTGCCCGACGAGATGCGGCCCGATACGAGCGTCAGATACTGTCAATGTATCCGTTCGTTCGTTCGTTCGCTCGCTCTGTCATTAGTAACGCACTTCATCTATGTCAATACTATGGATGCGCTAACAAGTGCGACGATCGGAATGAAGTCGCACGTGGCGCGTGGACCCCACTGCGTTGTCTTGAGGATCGCAGATGAGTGACAACACTCGAGCAGTTCGTTGTATAGTCCACGACCGCACCGCCTGTCAGTTGGTCAGTCAGTCAGTCAGTCGCGCGCGTACCCAGCGGCGCTTGCGTCCACCGTCACAAGTGGCATAAAAGTACAAACGAGTCCGTGCAGTCGACGCACAGCCTCACGACTTGTGGCCCTTCTCCGTCGTAAAGAGCCACTTTTCGATCGCTTGCAGCGCCGTCGACGGCGTCTTTGCCTCAGCCGCCGAATGCGACCGCCCCGTTCGTCGCCCGCGACGTACGTCCGACGCACTTTGGCGGTGCTTTGTGAACGGGAAAAACTGCCCCGACGGCCCCTCTGCGGGCTCTCCAGCAAACACTGTGGAATACGGTCGCGCGTCCGCTTTCATAGCCGTCTGTGGCGTCGACGCGGGCAAGAGCCAATTGGCCAACCGGTCCGAAATTGACCCCACAAAGTGCTGCTCCGAGTTCACGCGCTGGCGCTTTGCCCGCAGCGTCTCGAGCAGTCCGCGTCCAGTTCCGTCCGTGTCCGCCCCCAACTCGCGTTTCTTCATCGCCGGTGGGAATGACGCGACGGCAGAGAAGCGCGAGACAGAGCCGCGTTCGCGCGTCTCTTCGGGCGCAACGACTGTCCCTTGGAGCGCGTGGGCACTTGAAATGGAGCGACGAGTGGGCGACGGAATGTCGGGCGGCCGTCCGGTCACGAGGTGCTGATGGCGGCCGAGGAACACGTGCAACTCGTTCGTCTGATTCTGAAGGAGCTCCAGCTCGACGGTCAGAGCCGAGAGCTACGAGAGGCAGCGAATTGATTGAAACAATTGCAGGAACGAAACACATGAAGCACACACACACACACACACGACAGCATTCAATACAACATCATCCACAACACAACACAAGCCAAATGTGAGCAAAAACAGAATAAAACAGCCCACGAAACAATCAGTCTCTGCACTGGACGAAAGAAACAGAAGACAATAAAAACACAGACACACACATAGACACGCGCATATAAAGCAGAGAAAGTAGAAAACAATCAGCGCAGTGTTTTTTTCGTCTACCGGTGAGCGTTGCAGTCGGCAGCTGACAAAGACTTCGCTCGTCCTGCTCCCGTCCCGCGTCTGCTGCAGCACGTGCCACTTGTCCATCGGCCGCTGGTCCTGCAGCTTCGACAGCGGCAAAAGGAACGTCCCCACGACTTCGTCGGCGCCAATGCGCTCTTCCTGCATCACATCCACGCGCAGCGTCCCCACTGCTGCCGGCAGTGTTTTAAACACCAACGTCTCGCTCCATCGCGGCGCGGGCGTCACGAGTCGCTTCGATGTGCTCTTTTGCTCCATCAGTGTCTGCTGCTGCTGCTGCTGCTGATGTTGTTGTTGTTGTTGTTGCTGCTGTTGTTGTTGCTGCTGCTGATGTCCCTGCGGCTGTCCCTGCGGCTGTGCTACCACGAGCACGAGCGTCGCGCGCACGTACGTCTGGGGACTGGATAAAAAACCTGTTTTAAACCCCACGTTCCGTCCTGCTTCGATCGTCACGTCGAGCTGCGCGACGCTGTGCCCCGATCGCCGGTGCTCGTCGACACCCGCGACGCTGTTGTAGCACAGCTCGTGTTGCAGCTGCCGCAGCTGCGCGAGTTTCTCCGCGCGCAGCTCGTCGAGGCGGCGGATGCGCGCTTCGACGTCGTCGACCGCGCTCATTGTTGGAAACGGTCGGATTGATTTAATCACTCACTGCGTGGGGCGCCGGGGGTCCGTTTTTTATTTTATTACGCAGAGAGAGACGAAACGCGACGGCGCGCGCGGATATTAGTATGTGGGGGTCATGGCGACGCGCGCGGGTGCAAGGAAGGGCCATCTAGCCTGTGATAGAGAATATCTACGGTTCGATTTTCGTTGCAGCGCGTTCGGGGGAATGCATCTGGCGGCGGCGATGCGATGCGGACGATCGATTGCTTCTGTCTTGTGCGCGAGGTTTTTCTCTCAGCCCCACAAGAGGTATCTCGCTGAGAAGACATAGGCCATGAAAAGGGTCGACAGAATCAGTCACTTCGAATAGGGGCGCGGCAGTATCCTTCTGCTGCAGCGTACCGAAACCCTATTCATGTACACTTAACGGAAACAGTGTGTCACACTGCAAGTAAGCACGCGAAGCGAAGAGGCTAGCGGCACCATTGTGACATTGGATTGGCGGAAATCCAGCCGTCTTTTATCGAGTATACGGTCACCTCATTGGCAGATATTGGGCTATCCGTTGAGTCCCTCCCGCTCGGCTGACCACCTACTGGTCTCTCTCGCACGAGCCACTCTCTTGATCCCTTCACACACCTCACTCACTCACTTTGTCACCCACTCACTCACTTCGTCGCTATCTCACTCACTCACTCTTTCACTCACTCAGTCAGTCAGTCATGCCAGCCGGAGAAGCCAAGCTCAAGACCACACCGCTGGACCCGCGGTTCCCCAACACGAACCAGGCGCAGCACTGCTGGACGCGCTACAACGAGTACGTGCTGTGTCTGAAGGGAAACGACGGCGACGAGGACGCGTGCCACAAGTACTTGCAGTACGCCGCGTCGGTCTGCCCGAGTTCGTGGGTACGTAGCCCCATTGGTGGCGAGTGGTCGTCGAAGTCGTACTTCAGCTGGATACTTACTGATGTATCGGTGTGTCTGTGTGTGTTGTCGTTATGTATCCACCAGGTCGAGCGCTGGAACGAGCAGCGCGAGGAGGGCTCGTTCCAGGGGGTGCAATACTGTAAGGAAGAGTAAAAACCGGTTCTTGTGGTGGTCGTTCGGTCGTTCGGTCGTTCGTTCACACAGTGATGTCGTCGTCGCGCTGACATTTAAACGAAACGGCAATAAATAGCCTCTCACCAGTTTGGTTGACATGGATGCAAAGCCACGCGAGGATTTGTTCGTTGGTAGAATAAAGTACCGTATACTCCGTCGCGTTGGTGCGCGATTTCTATCTGCGGCTGCCTCCTGTGCATAGGTGACCCTATTTTTCAACATGTGCTCGAAACAACGTGTCTTACCCTTTTTTACGGAGTATCTGCAGGTACGCACTGACCTGTGGCCCTCAAAATCATGACTTATTGCTATCGACAGCTTTTCCTCACCCTCTCTCGACTGTGAGTCAGCTTTCGACTACGTGTTCGCAGTTCCGAGTACCTGATCGATTGACCAGTGGATGTCACTGTCGCGTATAGGCGAACGATTACGTGTTGACCACGCAAAACGGCAGCGAACTAAACCTCAACCATTCGACGTGGAGAAACGACAGAGTGAGCTGACGACCAATGGGTTCGACGCCGCAGCTGTTCTTCAGTGGGACTGCTGTTGCGGGAAGTAGGTAACTCGCATTGGCGCTACAGTAAGTGACAGGTTATGTGACGAGGCTGGTCAAATACTTTGTCGTAAGCTTCAGACGTTCCTTACCGCTTAGACAGACTTTCGAGCTCGATTGCTATTGATCGTCATCATCATCTTCGAACGTCACCAAACGAAACGTACGCTAAGGTAAGCAGTTGCACTTCAAGCATCGGCCCATGAGCCGAGAAATGCTGGAGAAGATCTGCCAGGATCTCGGCCATTCAATGTGGATCCTCGTCCAGCCGAGTCTCTTGATCCTGATGAAGGTGCTTGCTACTCTCCGTCCGCGTTCAACATGCACACGACGACAACAATACTCACATTTAGAGGGCGGGCTTAGCTCCTGGTCCTCGCCAGAGGGCCATGGGCACTCCATTTGCATTTTTCCCTCGATATTGGGTACACTCGGGTCGCACGATACTTCAGTGTGACCCGCCACAGTAACACTTAAAAGCGCTGGCTGGAATTGTTACACATTTCTCCCATCGGGGACAATTGTAGTTGTTGCAGACCGGTTTGTTGCGGCTGCATGAACGCGAAAGACGCCGTCGATCCTAAGCACCGAGCGTCGCTTTCCGAGTGTCCGTTCCACAACTCGGACGAAAGCATCGTAGAGCTTTGTGATGTGAGACCATCGTCCAGTCCCGCGTTTTCGAGCAGAACGTCGATATAGTCACGTGGATGTTGAGTCAATGGCTGTAGGTCTTTCTTATCTTGTTGATCGTCTTGCGGCAGGTAAGAAGCCACTCGGTCTTGATGAAACTGGATCTCGTGGGCATGAGATGCGAGAGGACGTAGCTGCACTTTCCTGTCATCCGCAGACGCTGTATGCACATGGTCCATCAAATCGTTCGCGTGAAGAGACGGGTGGACGCCGGATGGTGCACTCGAGCCTCTTGGCAAGAAAGACATTGGCATCGGGCGATTCTGCGACTGGGTTTGATACGACGTGCTTCCGCTCGATCCTGCATTTGGATTGATCGATGCCGGCCATCCGTTACTGGATCCAGATTTGTAAAATGCTGGCCACTCGTTGCCAGAGTGAGCCTTCACGCCGTAGCCAGTGACCCTGTCCGACTGGTGCTGTTGACCGACGTGTTGCCAGTGTTGTTGCTGCTGCAGGTCTGCATTGTGAGCCAATCCAGACGAAATGGGAAGGACTGCCGTCTGCTGGAATGCCGTTTTCGACGAAGACAACATCAAGTTATCAAATCGGCTTAATCTGTTGCCCATCGCACCGTTCACATTGCCATGATCGGCTTGCGCTTGGCCACTTCTGCGTCGACTCAGCATATTGGCACTGTGAGCCGCAAAACCGCCGTCGCTACCAGCACCTTCCATTCCAGCCACATTGTTGTGCATGCCGATGCCAAATGTGTTTCCAAAGCCTGGCGCCAGCACGTGAGGAAGACTCTGTTGTTTGCCGTGTGCTGGTGGGAACGTATAATGCTGCGACAACTCCTTGTTCTCCGCGATTTTCCTCATGTACATGGACAGCTGAGGCCCTATCGGTGAGTTCGTCACTGTGCTCGATCGAGCCTCCATCTCCAGCTCAAACTCCTGTTCTGCAGGAGTTCCAACGCGCTTGCGTCCTAGTACAAAAGAGTCTGCGATAGCTGACGGTGATTCCCCCGAAGCAGCAGCAGCAGCAGCCGCCGCTGCAGCGGCAGCCAAGCCAAAAGCTTCTGAGCCAGGGAGCATTCCTGTCGAGTGACGCCGTCCAGCAGCTCCTGAATTCAAAAACGACACCGTTGCGCCTGACAAAGTCGTGGACTTTTGCCGCTTCAGCGCTTGTTGTGTCGGCAGTTGGCTCTGCGGGTAGCCTGCTAGATCATAAGCTTCAAAAGGAGCTAGAGCCGAGGGCGCTGGAGCAAGTTCATGGGCGTGGCTCGTCTTTGTCTCGTCCATCGAGTCCGAATCGACACCAGTCGTTGGTCCACCGACCGACATGCCCACAGCCGCAGCATGCGCGCGTTCTTTCCGCTTAATGAGCTTCAGCTTGTCCTTGTCCGCCCGCACAAAGCAGGGGTGACTGAACGTACAGACGTTCGTCTGGGTCTTGGTCCACTTTTTAAAGCCAAAGTAGTTCAACTGGCGCTGGAAACTCGACACTTTGTTGTGCTTAAAGTACTTGGGCAAGATCTGCGTTGCCAGGTCGTCCGGCTGCTTGATCTGGAACGCTGTGCCGTCGTGCGACCACGTGATGACGCCCGCGTCTTCTTCTTCGAGAATCTGAAACAAAAACCGCAGGAACTTGGGCACCCCCACGTTGCGGCGCTTGATGAGCGGCACTGCAGCGCCAGTGTCTTGCACCAGACGTGCTGTGCCACGCAGTGCACTGCGCGACAGAGAGTGTGCGCGCTGCCCGTGCAGCCCCACTGCACTCGTCTGCTCGGGCTCAGGTTCGTCGTCGACCGCCACGAGCGACGCCTCCCGCGTGGCCGTCGTGTCCCCATTGCGCCCGCTGTCGAGACGGAAGCCGCAGCTCAAGTCCGCTTTGAGGTCCGCGCGCGGGACAAACGCCAGGGCCGCCAGTTGCTGCGGACTCGCAGCGCGCACTGGCGACGCCGCGTGGTCGTCCGTGAGGCTCGAGGCCCGCGACGAGGCAGTGCTCCTACTGCTGCTGCTGCTGTGGCGACTGCTGTGGCCGCTGCCCGTCGCGTGGGACGTGTGCTTGTCGCGCGGCATTCTGCGTTATGTCTGTCTGTCTGCATCCCTTCAAGGCCAAGAAAATCTTTGGCCGGCGAAAGCTTCCATGGTTCGGGGAGTCGTTTCGGCCAATGGGTGACGCGGACGGAACACGCTGCGCCAATGAACGCGCGTCGTGGCGGCCGCGCGCTCGCCCGCGTTTCAGCAGTCACAACGTGATTGGGGCCTCGGGCAGGAAGTAGCTCTGTTGCTACTGACACGTAGTCGGGCGGGACGGGAAAAGTCGCCACTGGGCTTCGTGCGACCGCGCGGGTGTGCCGCGTCCGCCACTGTCGCCGTCCGTCCCTTCTACTGCCAAAGGGCAACCGCGAGAGATGCTGCCCCTACTGGCCCTTGCTACCGCGCGTCGCAGCGGCTGTGCGCCACTAGTGGACGACTAGTTTTGGCCCGCAGCGCTTACTTTAGTAGCGCTCGGGCGCGCCTTCCGCGGACGAGCGACGCAAAATTTGCTCCCGGTCGGCGGCGGCGGTCCAGATACTGGTCAGAGAGTGGAAAATCGAACGGTGTACGATACACATAGGGCAGAAAGATCCCGCACGCACACGACGACGGGGGATTGGTAAAAAACAAAAGTGAGCCACCGCGCTGCGCAAGTGCAACCGACGTCCACACGCGCTTGTTTGGCTCTGCGTGATCAGCTGATGTAACAACACAATTTTACACGTTCCCAAACACACAATTGCACAATTGGAAGGCGACACAATTGCACTTTTACACAATTGCACAATTACACAATTGCACAATTGCACTTTTGCACTTTTGCACAATTGCACAATTGCACAATTACACAATTACACAATCAAGTGGCGCAAATGACCAACCTCGTGCTCCAGCTCGCGCAGCTGCAGCTCGGCGCCTTTGGGTCGCGCCACCGGCCATCGCGACGCCTGGACGACGTGTCGGACTGTACCGTAAATGCCTCGTCGATAGCACTGCAACGCGGCGCTGTCTCGCGTGCGTTGTTGTCGTCTTTCTACTGTCCAGCGCAGTGTGTCCTGTCGCTCAAGGCGCCGATGGAAAGACCGGCAGCAGACGGATTGGGCGTCTTGACCCGATCTGTCGGCTCTGATCCCGTGTTTCAAGCCTCGTACGCCCATGGACGTGGTCTCCTGCTGGCTGTAGACGAAGCAGGAGCTGTGGGGGTCCTGCATGCAGCTGCTGGGCGTCGAAACAGCTGCTGGAGAGCCCATAACAACGCCATTTTTGACGGCATTTGGACACATGATGACGCACGAGTGGTCACGGCAGCTGGTGATCTACAGCTCCGGATTTGGGACGTCGAGACAGTGGACAAGAGCGGTGGATCGAGACAGGCGCAGCCGGTGTTGACGCTGCGAGGACATGACATGAGTGTCAAGTGCGTCCGTCAAGCGCCATGTAGTACTCATGTGTTTGCCTCGGGTGGACGAGATGGACGGGTCTTGCTGTGGGATACGCGTGCGAGTGACAAGTGTGTGTTGTCACTGGAAAACGTGCATGCAGAGCCCACTCGGTCGCAACGAGCGTCGCTCAATGGAAAAGTCATGACGTCGAAAAAGAGGCGGCGAGTAGTAGCTGCAGCATCGACGAAGTCGTCGCCACGTAGTGTCACGTGTGTCGAGTTTGATGCGGCAGGCAACGAGATCATTACAGCAGGTGCAGTGGATGCAGTGGTCAAGTTCTGGGACACTCGACGTTTCGGATCGGGCTCTACTGTCGCTGGTGGTGGAAAAGGATCGTATGGCTCTTCGATGCCAATTCGTGAGGTGTCTTGCGCATCTCGTGATGGCTCTCGCCGCGGCATCTCGTCTTTGATGCTCGGCCCGAGCGGCGAGGCGTCAAAGTTGCTTGCAAATGTGCTGCACGACTCCATTGCTCTGATTGACATTGGCCAAAAGCAGTATGGTGGTGGCCATTTTGGTGCTCGGACGATCCTTCGGTGCGCTGGACACCAATCCACTTCGTTTTACAGTAAAGTCGCGCTCAGTCCAGATGGAGACTTCATTGCCGGTGCATCCGCAGACGGCGTCGTCTACGTCTGGGATGCGCGTGTGTGGTCATCTCTTGATGGAGTCGGAGCGTCTACTTGGGCCGGTCGAGGTATCCAGATGCGTGCGCCCTGTTTTGCGCTGAAGGGCCACGCAGACGAAGTCAATGGAGTCACATGGAGCCCTCACGATATGTTGCAGCTCGCATCATGTTCGGATGATGGTACTGTACGCTGCTGGCAGGTTGGCAGCAAATGGGACCAAAGTGTGGGCGACTGGCAGCAAGGACAAAGCGTGGAAGCTGCGCCATTTGAACTTCGCTTGATGCACGGAGATGAGTCGGATGGAGCACGTAGAAAAGCGAAATGGGCAAACTGGAGCACCTTTGCACAGCAACCTGACGGTTCTGCATACCGCGTGCGAGGAGTGAACCGCCCCTTGTCTCCGAAACCCCGAAAAGATGTGCAAAGCCTGCCGCTTCGAGAAACGCGACAGAGGGCCGAACGTCAGCTACACCCCATCGATGGAGTTTCGATTGTCGAGCAACAATCGCAAGCCGAAGTGCGAGATTGGCAGGAAGTTCAGGGCAATCAGTCCCAAGGCACACAACAGCTTTCCAGTCACCCCAAGCGAGCTCAGCAAACGCTTGTGGAGCTGTGGGGGCAGTAACAAGAGTAAGCTGTCGGCGCCATTGGAGCCCCTGACGATGGCAGAACCAAGAATATGTGTGGTACAATAGAACAAGTAGATCACTCACGCCCGTGCTGATGGCAGCCTATCGATGTTGAAGTTAGACTTGCGATCGTTGCTGTGCCGTTGCCATGGTAGCAGCACTTTACAGAACATCCTCCTCAAACGCCTTCTCGAACACGTCAAGAAGCTTGTCGATGTCGTTCTCGTCTACAACAAGCGGCGGACATAGACGAATCGTGCTGTCGAAGGAATGCAAGTCACATGTAACGTTAGACATCGACAACATCCATGGCGTTACAGTGATCAACAATGGACTTACTTTTCACCAGCCGAAATGATGAGTACCTGCTTCGATAGCGCATACTTAATGAGCGCGTTGACGGGCTTTTTGCATTCCAAAGCGATGAACAAACCACCCTTGCCAATTGGCTTACGCACATCCGCCACCTTGTCGGGGAACTTTTGCTTCAGCTTTTCCAGCCCGTCAGCCAAGTAGGTGCCCCGCTTTTGCACGTTCGCAAGAAAGTCTTTGTCCATGATCTTCTTGAGCACTGTGCTCGCGACAGCGCACACCAACGGATTCCCACCAAAAGTCGTGCCGTGCTGGCCAGGGCTGACTGCTGACGCCACTTTGTCCGACATGAGCACCGCACCAATCGGCAGTCCGCCCGCGAGCGGTTTCGCTAACGTCATGATGTCAGGTTTCACATCGTACAGCTCGTGGGCAAAGAGTTTGCCCGTGCGGCCGAGACCACACTGAACTTCGTCCGTGATCAGCATCGCGTTATGCTTGTCACACAGAGCTCGAAGCTCACGCATGAACTCATAGTCAGCAGGGAACACGCCTCCTTCTCCCTGCACGGGCTCAATAATCACACCCGCCGTCTTGTCCGAAATGAGTTTCTTGACGCTCTCAATGTCATTGAACTCGGCATAGTGCACGCCGGGCACCAGCGGCATAAACGCTTGACGAATCTTCGGCTTGTGCGTGAGCGTCAATGCAGCAGCCGTGCGACCGTGGAAGCCGTGCTTGAACGAGATGAACTCAAACTTCTGGTTCTCCACAGGCCTACAGCAAGCAAACACGTAAGCACGTACACACGTACAGCATGAACGACCCATTAGAAAGTTGCCCGTCGGACATGCGCCGGACAAGTTCATGTAGCCCCATTAACTACACCATCCCCTCTCCAATCAACTTTGTAGCCACTTACGTCCCCTGCGCCACGTGATTGGCGTAAAGTCGCGCAAACTTGTACGCGCCTTCATTGGCTTCCGTGCCCGAGTTGGCAAAAAAGACCTTATCAAAGCACGAGTTGTCCACGAGCGTCTTGGCGAGTTCCAGCGGCGCCTTCGAGTGGTACAAATTGCTCACGTGCGTCACGTGTTTGCCGTGCTCCACGAGGCTCTCGTACCAGTCGGCGTCGCCATGGCCGAGGCCAGACACGGCAATGCCCGCGTAAAAGTCCAAGAACTCGCGCCCGCGTTGGTCGTACAGTTTGCTGCCCTGGCCGTGCGTGAACACGAGCCCCTTCTCGCCGCGCACGCCGTCGGCGTTGTACGTGTTCACCAGGTACTGGTGCTCGTACGCCTCGGCGTCGAACGCGGGGGCGGCCGAGAGGGAACGGGACGTGCCGGCCACACGATTCATCACGCGCGCGAGCGGCAGACGCATCTCCAGTCGGGTTAAGCCTCGCGCGAGTGGCTACGGGGGCCACGGGGGTGCGTAATGTGTCGTTGGTGTGGTGTGGTGTGTCGTAGGTGTGGTGTGGTGTGTCGTTGGTGTGGTGTGCGTCCGATCGCACGAACGATCGAAGAACGGTGCGGTAGGGATTGGTCGAAATACCGGTCAAGGGGGTAGGGTCCACCCCCTCTGAAATCCAGCAGCCGACTATCGGCGATGCAGTGACAGATAGAACGCCACGCCTCCTCCTTCTTTTCATAAACCTGCCAAAACCGATACCAATCGAATCATAGAGGGAACCAGCCGCCGCCGATCTTTACGCCATACCCCAAAGAGCTCCTGCCGCGCGGCAGTATGAAGTCGTTCCTCTCGTCGCTCGCCGTCGCCGCCGCCGCCGCGTCTGCTGTCGCCGCGGCACTGACCACCGACGCGCCGCTGTCGCTGCGCGACGCGGGCGAGCAGCCGACGTGGGAGGCGTTCGTGCGCTACGCGCTCGAGCACGAGAAGGCCTACCGCTTCCGCGCCAACGACGACGACGTGGTCCAGCGCCGCTTCCGCGCGTTCGCGACCAACTGCGCGCGCATCGCGCGGCACAACGACGCGTTCGAGCGCGGCGACGTGAGCTTCACGCTCGGCCTGAACGCCCTCGCAGACCTCTCGGACCGCGAGTACCGTCACCGGCTGCAGTACCGCCACCGGGTCGGAGCCGCGCGCACGTTGCCGGCAGTCGAGACCGTTGTCGCGCCGGCTGACAGCGGCGACGTGCCCGAGACGTGGGACTGGCGCGCGCACAACGTCGTGACGCCCGTGAAGAACCAGGGCCCGTGCGGCTCGTGCTGGGCCTTCTCGGCTGTTGCCGCTATGGAGGCCGCCTATGCCCTGAGCACGGGCACGCTCGAGTCGTTTTCCGAGCAAGAGCTCGTGGACTGTACGCTAGAGGGCAGTGACAATTGCAGTCACGGAGGCGAGATGAGTGACGGGTACCAAGAGATTATCGACCACCACGGGGGCAAAATTGACCGCGAGATGGACTACGAGTACACGGCCGAGTCGAAAGGCGTGTGCAACGCCAAGGACGACCGGGCCGTGGGTCACTTTACAGCTTACGCCAACGTGACGTCGGGCGATGAAGCGGCACTGCAGGCTGCCGTGGCGACCAAAGGGGTCCAGGCCGTGGCGATTGACGCGAGTAGCTTTACGTTTCAGCTGTACCGCCACGGTGTCTACAGCTGGCCGCTGTGTGGCAATGCTCCCGAGGCACTGGACCACGGCGTGGCCGCTGTTGGCTACGGTGTGTTCAACAAGAAACACTATTGGCTCGTCAAGAATTCGTGGGGCGACTCGTGGGGCATGAAGGGCTACATCATGATGAGTCGCAACAAAAACAACCAGTGTGGGATCGCCACGGACGCGTCGTATCCTATTATGACAAAGGACGCAGATGTCACTGGCAGCGGGAAACACGCCGAGGTTCAGGAGTTGAGTGAAGTCGTCAGCATCATGTGAGCAAGTACTGCCTGGCCAGACACAGGACGCACCACGTGACCTGCTGGGCGACATGCAGGTGACCTTTCGAACTAGTACTCCACTACTTTGAACAACTTTATGTCAATTCATTGACAAGAACACGTACGTTCTGGTAACACCGCAATTGGCGCGCGCCCGTTTTGTGTCGCTGCAGGACTTTGTTCGACCATCTGTGCCTTCAGAAGACGTCTCTTTTCGCCCACCCACTCTTGCCTCGATTCCGGTCGTACATACACAATCTTTCGTCGTACAATGATTTGATCATACAGAAGTTGGACTCTCCATCCCGTTTGTCTGTAGATTCGCAGCAATACTTATCTCCCGCGTGCTGACGGAACCCGTTCGAGGAAGCAAATCAAAAGCAGCGAGTGGCGCCCATGGCATCGAGTGCCACAGACAGAATGCAATCACAAGGGAGCGATGCTGGCCCGCAACTGCTGAGTTGACAAGAAGGTAGAGAGATACTGGGAGTGAGGGAGTGCAGTGAACAGCTTGCAAAAGCGATGGTGCTATCGCGATATTGCACGCTCGGAACACTGCGGTTTGCGGCTCTCTCGGTCCAAACTCGTTGCACGCCGTCACAGACGAAGGCGTCAAACACGTCACATCGTAGCATCAGCTACGGTGACTACCGGCGCTTGCGTCAAGCGCAACACACCGTCTTCGACTCGGATACAAAGGCCATTGTGAAAGCACACGCAGAGCGGCACTCGGGCTCATTAGTTACCATCTTGAGCTCATCGAGTCCTGTCTACTGCTGTGCTGCACGCGCAAGTGCTTCACAAGCGTGCACCAACGTGACGCGACACGTTACAAACGCAACCCGTACGTAAGCATCAGTCATCTGTGCCTCGATTTTGCAATGTTCGCTGGCCTTCGCCGTTTGCTTTCTCGCAAGCTTCGTTTCTTGCCCGGGCTTTGTAGAAGACTGTAGGATACCCTCACGCACTTTACTTCCGCCTTGCGTTCCGTCGCACGATCAGAACACTACGGAGTGGCGAACATATTGGCGCTCGGCAATACAGACATAGGCAGCACTCGAAAGAGGGCCGAAGTTGCATGCACGTGTATTTGTCTATACTTGACGAGGTGACAATCGGTCGAGCACATGTTTTTATAAATTGTCAACTGACTGCAGCTGCTGCTGGCAGCCAAACCATCAGCAGCTGCAGTCGGTAAACTCACTCCAGCCGAACTACGTCATTGGAATCGATCCTTCTTCAGCAGTACGGACGAATACAAGTGCAGCCGGAAACTGCATCGTAGACCCATCGCCACTGGCGACTGGAACACCAGCTTCAAGTCTGATCGCTTCGCTCCCATTGCTGATTTACTTACATTCGTATCGTGTTGCGAGGACTCGACTTGGTATCAACGACAGGATGGAGGAAGATAAAGGCATACTACACCAGCCGCTGCATGTTAGCAAGAAAAAGAAAACGAAGAAGCAGCAGTAGCAGCAGAAGCAGCTTCAGCAGAAGAAGAAGAAGAAGGCCAAGACGTCGTCCCCACTCTGTCGCTGTCGAGCGGTCGCATCGCTCAGCGCGTCATCCAAGTCGAACCGAAGGTCAGCAGCGTCGAGGGTCACGCGTGGCCAAAGAAGCGGTTCTTCGTCCTACCTGCAGTGCAATCGTTACAGCTCCATGCGCTGCCACGGGAGACGGGGCAGGGGGCGAGTGACCAAAGTTCAAGTGGAGACGACGTCACCGTCTCAATGACGTCGTCCGTCGTTGATAGCCGCACGGAATGACGTAGCGGGGCGTCGTGCCCTACTCCCCGACCCGTCACGGAGTGGTCAAAATACCGTTTCGAACGGCTCGGATTGGGTAAAACCCCTTCCGGGGCATCACGCGCTGCCTCGTCATCTGTGGACCACATCGCCCCATTCCTTCGCCCGAACGCTCGAATTGTATCGGTCTCCAGAGCAGAGCATTTCGAATTGCACCTGCAAGTCCCGACGTCCACAGTCAGCAGCAGCTGTTTGCCCATTGACCGCACGCCATGAACAGCTTCTGCTCGAGCGCTGACAACGCGCAGCTCCAACTCCGCTCCTTCGTGTCGTTCGACGCTGACGACGACATGGCGCAGCTCATTCTGGAGGTACAACTAGCGCTGTACCCATTGTGAACAGCGCAACCCCCACCGCCACTTTCCCCTCTCGCGCTGTCGAGCGCCGTGTACGAAAGCGGTAGCGCTCCTTGTTGCAGTACTCACTACGGTTCATGTTGCACGTTTCACTGTGTGCAGGAACTGTCGTACATGCGGCGCTCGTTCACGGGCGTAGCTGCTGAGATCGCCTGCTCTCCGTCCAGCTCTTCGTCCGCAGGCCTCAATGCCATCTCGGAGGACGAGGAAGAGGACGAAGCGGCGTAGGCAATTGCTGATCGAGCGGTGACGGTTTTGAGTCCCAAGTGATACAGAAGTTGCGGACAAGTGGGGGGGAGGACCTGTTGCCGCCGCCATTAGCCGTTGACTCGACAGGCGGGTGCAAACTTTGGCGATAGAACAAGAGGGAGAGCGAGACGGAGAGATGGAGAGAGATGGAGAGCGAGACGGAGAGATGGAGAGAGATGGAGAGCGAGACGGAGAGATGGAGAGAGATGGAGAGATGGAGAGAGAGAGAGGTGGTGGGAATGAGTACATGTCCCCGCGTTATTTATTGAACAGTGCCCCTTTGTGTGGTTTCGGGTAACAGCATTAAATAGAATCATTTGACGGAGTGTGGCGGTGTAGGCATTCGAATACGTTTATGGTGCGGGCACTCGAGTCGAGCGCTATCCTCTCACCACGTGGTCGATACGCAGTTTGTTACTGCGACTGCTTCCCAGCGTAGCTCAGCTCTGGATGATCGATTGCCTCGCGTCGCCGCTGTTGTTGTTGTTGTCGTTGCTGCTGCTGCTGCTGCAGTTGTAAGTTTCGAGCTGGACATTCTCACTGCATTTGGAGCCTACGAGAGTCAGAAACTCATCCGCGACACAGTACTGAGATGCGAGAAAAGCTGCTGCCCAATTTGTTTGAATCTCAGTGCTGTGACGAGGAAAAACACCAACACGGGCTATTGCGCCGTGAGCGAACTGGCCACACAACGCTCGCGATCGTTCGAGAAGCGCAATAGAGCGACGGAGCTCAGGGGACGCGATATCGGTGTAGCAAGTGCGACAAGTGAGTGCACTTGCAGTACGGAAGGAGAATCCACTGCGCCTGAGCGGTAGTCATGGCGAGTTGTCGACATGTTGCAGACCTGAGCGACGGACAGAGCTCGATGCCCCTCTCGCATGGGTCTTTACGGCAATGTTCGCGCAAGGCAGGAGCAATCATTGCAAGCTCGACGAGCAGGACGTAAACACCGGCAGTACCTCACCAGATCGTCTCCGGCTGTCTAGCGCAGGCAGGTGGTCCCTCAAGCCAGTCGAATCAGCTGGCTGTCGCGTCGTTTTGGCGGTGGCGTTGAACCCATCAAGGACACAAATGGCGCCGCAGGACGAGCACGCAACGCGCCAGTAGCAAAAACCTCGGACATGTCAACTGATTGCACGACCAGCAACACTTGCACGAACTCCGTATGCGCGGATCATCTTCGCCCAGCACCACCTGGTGGATCGAAGCGAAACGGATCGCTGGGCACTGGTCTGCAGCTTCTGGAGGGGGGGAGGGGGCACGACGCAGCCGCTGGAAACAAAGTCATACGTGTCGCGAGATGACTACTGGTACCTCGTCAAACGGCGCAAAGCGGACGCACATCCTGTGATTGTAGCAGGTAAGGCCAACAGAGTCGCTGGACGCATTGACAACGCAGCGGCAGCGAGTCTCGGCCTCCCTCAGCACGGTTTATGGCAGCGGGCGGCAGCGCATCAGCGCCCGTTGTCGGTGTGGGGCGATACCGAATGGCCTGACGGACTTTCAAGTTTGGACGTGCGACAGATTTGCTATCAAGCAACTCAACTTGTACCATACAGGGCGTCACGATGACAATAGCTGTCGGGCGTCGTTGCACTGGCACAACGTCAAGGAAACAACTCCGGCTCATATCGTTTGGACGTTTATAACAGCGCGCGCGTGTTGGGGCATATTCGTCGCTATTGGAGTGAGCGGAACGGCGCTGGCTACACGGAAACATCGCGGCATTGACACAATTGTCCAAGGAGCCATATCGCACGTCTGTATAGACCTATGCACGCTCGACCCCAGCGGCACCTCGGTACCTACCGCGGACTGCCACGACAAGCTACCGGCTCGGGCGCATATCACCTGGCTCAGAGGTTTCAGCCCTTTTGCGTATGAGATAGAGGGGTAGACGTGTCTAGTTAACGTTAGTGGTTGCAGAATGTCCGATGGATCCTAAGCCTGGCTAGCAACGCCGGTTCCTCGATTGCGTTCGGTAGTTGTAACGGGGCTTGTCGCCCGAGGTGACGGCTCTCGGGGTTGCCCAAAGCTTTTGCTCTGGCATTATAATAGGCGACGGGCGCCCTCCCCTATCTTTTCGTGTCGCCTCGTCAATTCTCGCGTTTAGCTACCGCTCGGAGCTGCCGCGCGCCGGGTTTTCAACATGTGCGGACGCTACGGGCAAGAGAAACATCCTCGTGCAGGAACGCTGCATGATATTTGAGGATCCATCAGTTCGTAAAGCAACGCTGCACAATATGGACCACGACATTGCGCTTGGGTATATGTTAGTTGACCGTCACGGGATCTCTCACGTTAAAGCACAAAGCGGCGGTCACGGGCTCCATCCGACGAGTGGCGTAGGCGCCCAATCAGGGGACCACCACCTATGCCCATGAGGTCTCCTTGGAACGCGCTGTAGCTCTCGTGACGCGCAACGGAAGCTACCGACCGCGCGAGCGGCCGCCACTCCTCGGCTGGATCGATACATTGTTGCTAGGGTGGCTCGACCCGACCCTGCACTTGGCAGATCATCGGAGTCGCGTGCACTCATTTCTGGGTCGTGCGACACCGTCGCTTGCTGCACTGGCTTTGGGTTCTACGCATCAAGTCGGTAAACTAACTTCGCGCAATGGTGACGAGGGAGCATCGATACAAGCGCGACAACGTCTGCTGGGCGCATGCATCCGGTTTGCTCAAGTGCGACCGCGAGGGATTACGTAGTGGGACTCCTACTTCCGGCACAGAAAGCCCTCTGGGTTTACCAGCGCTAAAACCCGTCTTGGCTCCTTCCAGACATCGTCCACACATAGGCAGTCACACGCAAAGAGACGGTCGTGACTCCTCTGTTCTAGTGACTGCTGAGGCATTGGTGATGAGAATCAGACTGTCCATTTACCGTGACGGCTCACTGTACTTCTGAACACCCGCAGCCTCTTGAGGTCCCCGGGAGGTGATCCCATCTCTATCGCCTACAGAAGCTCTCATTTTCCGTCTGCTCGTGGACGCTAGTATCACTTCAGTTGCGAAGCGTGACAAGACACTATCGGCTCTATCCCTGCCACGACGTTTTCGTTGATCGCGACTGCTCGCAGTTGGCGAGAACGAATGCGTGCGACTTCTGCGTCCGTATGCTCACGGGCCATACTTTCGTGTTGGTGCACGCGCGAAGAAGTCCTGACCCCGCGCCGAGTGAGACAAAATTAATTGGTGATTTTGTGGCATACCCAAATTTGATACTCCGTGAGAGTGTAGCGATACTCCCATAGGTGCGCCGGCGACTCGGACAGCGCAGAGGTAGTGGCCGTGTGGTTGAAGCATTTGTCGGGAAGCAAAGTGGGTACACTTGAGAACCAATGGGAGCGTTCGCGGAAGACGGGATAGTTGCGGAGTCTGATTTATCGGGACACAGAACGTGCAGTACCTGAGTAGGTGCAGTGGGAACAGATGAGCGCGAGATACGAGTGGCTGAAATTGATTCCTCGGCGGGTCAAACGGGTGGCGGCGGGCGGGCGGCAGCTGTGGATGCGGCTCCGCTGCCTGTTCCGTGGCCCGCCCAGTGCGAGGGCCAGGCGACATCTGGCGCCACCCGGCGACATAGAAGCACCGGTCAGGCTGCGCGGGGTCGACATGGTAGTCAAGGGTTCGGTCGGCCTGAAGCCGGTGGGTGCCTACAGGGAAGTCACGACGGAGGACCCCCAGCTCTCGTCTGCACAAGAGACCGTCACCGCAACAGCAAACAAATGTGTTGTGTCCTCCACCGATGGCGACCGCTATCGACAGTCGGCGCCCACGGCTTTCGTGGTGGTAGTCACGTCTGAGCCGCCGCCAAACTGGTTCCTCTCTTCTTCCAGTGCGAAAGTCCCCGTTAGCGAACGGTCTCTGCCACTGTCGCCGGTCGATTTGCATTGAAGCTGGTAAAACCAGCGCGTGACGGGGATCAGCTCAGCTCAGCTCAGCTCAGCTCAGCTGCGTGCCCCGTGTCGTCGTCTGCTTCGCGCTGGCTCTGGCTCTGGGCGACGCGATCAGATGCAAAGTCGCCCAGTGGTGGCGAGGCGCGCGCCAGAGGTCGTGGCCGACGGTCGAAGCCCTCGCTCACTGACCATTCCTCGATCTGCCTCCGAGCGAACAAGTCCCAAGTCCCGCCGTGACGACCATGCGCTTCATCTTTGCCGCTGCGCTCGCAGTAGCGTTCGCACTCGTTTCGACGCCATCGACTGCTGCGTCCGTTGCGGAGCCATCCGGAGCGTCGCAGATTGCCCCACTTGGTCCTGACCATCGCGAAGGCAAAGTCTCGGGGCTGGGCGAAGGCCGTCATCACGTGCGACCGGACCGGCCGCCCACTGCTGTCCTCAGTGCCCAGAACGAGGAAGCGAGATTCCTTCCGGAAGCGTTTGGAAGCCTGGGCGCTTTAGTAACCAGTGCTATAAGGAAGTTGCTTCGCCTTTTCAACAAGGGGGGCCCGAGACTGCGTAAGGAAACTGCCACCTTGAAAAACAAGGCGAAGTACAAGCAGGAGGTTGCGAGCATCAAGGGAGGGTCTTACAAAAAAAGATGGAAAATGGCAACTAGTCGGTGGAGACTGAATCGATGAGCCATTCGTGTCGTCGACGTTGCACACGATGTGCCGAGCACGTTCAGTAGCGCCGGCCATTCGTTGGTTGGCATCCCGTTCATCAATCGATCTTTTGCCTCTCGTTGTTTTGTTTTGTGCTCGTGGTTTACGTCGTCTTGTCAGTGACACAAAGGATGGCGTCTGTCCTGTCGTCTGCAGCGCTGGGCGAGAGCAGGTCCGACTCGTTGACGCTGAGCTTCGACGAAGCAGAACTACAGCCACGCAAAGGTATCGCCATACGTAGTAGCAGCAGCGTATCGTAAACCAAGCGACTGCTTGCTACGCAGCTGTATATCTCTCTCCCTAAACGAGAAGCTCACGGCGCCCACACGCTGTCAACGTGCCCCTCAAACTTGGCTGGCAGTGAGTGACCAGG